CCTGGTGTTGGCCAGAGTGGCCACCAGGGAAACCTGGGGAGGGCTAGCCTCCCACTAGTTCGAATTAAGGGGCTACACACCCCTTAATTCGAACTAGGCTTAATCCTCGTAAAATGAGGATTACCTAGTTCGAACTAAGCGCTCCGCTAGTTCGAATTAAGTTTGAATTAGCGGAGCACTAGTGTAGCGCCTATGAAAGCCCACTAGTTCGAATTAAGGGGCTACACACCCCTTAATTCGAACTAGGCTTAATCCTCGTAAAATGAGGATTACCTAGTTCGAACTAAGCGCTCCGCTAGTTCGAATTAAGTTTGAATTAGCGGAGCACTAGTGTAGCGCCTATGAAAGTTAGTTCGAACTAACGTCTGTTAGTTCGAACTAACTCTGTAGTGTAGACATACCCTGAGAGAGAGATGGAGCAAGAGACTGGAGGCTCAGGACAGAAGACGGACGTGGAGGAGAGACCCGAAAATCCCATCTTATGATGGGCTAATTGGCTCGTTAATAAGAGAAGAATCCCCTAGCTCTTATCCATGCTTCTCATCAATAGACCCCAGTGCTTTCCTAAGGAGGTCAGCATCATTTCCCCACTGTGCAAATGGGGAAACTGAGGCACAAAGTGGTGGTGTGCATTGGTTAGGTCGCCCAGCAGCAATGGAATGTTCTATCATCAGGGGTCCCTGGAATGATTGATTTTCCTCCAGGAAAATTTAAAAATCTGCTTTTCACTAAAAACCTCAAAACTAAAACGGAGAGAAAGAGAGCGAGTGTGTGTAAGTTAAAAATGTTCTTTTTGGGGTTGCCAAAAACTGGGGGGAGAGGGGAGCTTTTAAAAATACCTATTTTTTGGTCATAAAATAATTTTCTTCACAAACCAATCGTTTTTGACAAAACCCCAGATGTTTGTCCCAAAACATTAAACATTTTTGCCAACAAACTGTGGGGCTGCTGACTGCCAAAGGGCCCGGGGGCTGAATCCTGAATCCAGGACCCCGCACCGCGTACTCGGGTGCCTGTCAGGGCTCAGAGAGGCTGCTGGGGGCGGAGCAGCAGGCACAGGGCAACGCTGGGACTCAGGCCCAGTCCTGAAGGGGCTTTCTGCCCCCGACGCAGTGCTGCCGCTCTGCCCTGTGCTCTCAGTGCTGAGGCTGCTCTGCTTTTCGGGGACCCCTCCCACAGCAGGGAGTGGTCCCAGTGGCTGCACCCAAAGAAGCCCGGCTGACGCAGAGCTAGGCCTGCCTGCCCTCCAGCCCCACGGGGCCGAGCGTTCCCCCGCTCGCTCCTGGAAGGGAGCCCCCGCCCACATCTTGCTGCTCTGCTACCGTTCAGCTTTGCATCTGGCAGGCCTGCTATCAGGAGGGTGCAGGCGCTCGGCTGGGAGGATCAGAGAAGTGGCATCTTATCCTTCCCGAGAGCTCAAAACCGCGTCCCGCAGGGCGGCCTGCTGCGATGGAAGCAGAGATCCGAGAGCTCAGGGAGATCAGCCTGGCCAGCCCCAAGCATGTCAGTGGCTTACGGGCCGAGATCCCACTAGCGAAGCCGGCATGCCGGGGAGGCGCGTCCGTCTCGCTGGCAGGGCGGCTCAGAGGAGAATCCGTGTGCAGCTCAGAGCCAAGGAATGGAGCTGGCCATTCCTCTGCACCCTCTGCCCGGGCGGGGTCCCTGAGGGCCTCCCGGGAGCCTGAGCCGGTCTGCAGGCGCTGGGTGTCCGCGCTCTGGCTGCCTGGCGAGTGTCGCAGGGCGTCGCCCCTGCCTGGAGGACGTGCCGAGGCCCCTTGGCACAGCTGGACGTACGGGGGCTGCTTGCTCAGAGGAGCTAGGCCGGGTCCCATCAGGAGCCTTAAAGATGCCACAGTGACCTCAGCTCACACCTGCGGCGCGGCCCCCCGCTCCTGAGCTCCCGCAGCCCTCT